ATCGACAGGGCATGGTTCGACGGGCGGAGGTGAAGACCAAGACGGGCACCTATTCGCGACCCATCAGCAAACTGTGTCTCCTCTTGGAAGGAGATTCATGAGCACTTTGAATTTGTGAAATTGTGATTCCATAAGAGATATACGCTATTGAGACACCTTTTAAGTTTCTTCACGGGACCAACTCATCAAATTTTGGAGCAAGTCAAGTTGGAAATCAATTTTGGAGTCCGTTTGTGATAATTATATGTGTGAAGTAATAAGTGGTGCGAGCCTAGCGCCGCCATAATAAAGCTCAAGTCTATATTTGGATCAATCGCGAAGCCTTTAATTGTTGGATCACAAGCTTGGAAAATGTTGGTTTTAGAAAAGATTATCATTGTGATATATGGTGCGAGCCTAGCGCCGCCACTTCATGTATTTACCAAGTGAAATGTTTTCATTGGACCAAACGCGAATTTGTTCACTAGGAGTCACAAGTTGGACCACTCTGCACCTTCTATTCTGTCGCGTAATCAAGCCGTAGAGATGGCAGCAGAGGCACAGAGTATGCAGATTCGAAAAAGACTAAAAGACTTGATTATTGTGCAAAATCTGGCTATCATGGACTGGCTAAGGAATAAGCTCAGACTTTGGACATTTAAAAGAAAAGGTCAGATTATTTGAAAATGATATAGACAGAGACTCAGTGAAAATGCATTTTATGTATACATGTAGAAAAGATTCTTGCCAATTTGAATGCTATTTCTAACAGTTTCATAAGCATATTTTGTTATTCAGTGAATTGCATTTGAGGAGTGTAAAATGTATGTACATTGTACAATGTACCTTTGAAATGGTGGGCACAGTGACACAGATGTCTTTTAGAAGTTGAAAGAGAAGATAATAGAAATATTGAATATGTAAAATATATGAATTATTGTTTGATCATCTATGATGTAATTGCTAGAATATGAATATTTAAATTTAAATTTCTGTGACAGAAAAAAGGGAGTAGAAAACAAAAGTCAAATACAAAACTTTGGGTCATGTTCCACTTTTCAGGTAAATATTTGTCAGGAACTCAGGAGAGAAAAATCTTGCATGTATTTAAAATGTCATATGAGATATTTGGAAGCATATTTTGTGTTGCTTTTAAAGTGTAGATTTATGTGAAGTGCATGATTATAAAAGGCAATGGGTTATTATTTTGAAGGATACAATGTAAAGATTTTTTAGGAATCAAGGAATGTATATAATGTGCATATTTGTGTTGACGCAAATATTTGGTGTACAGGTTATTTTAAAGCAGATGCTATTTTGGTTCTGAGACAAAATTTCAAAGAGTTTATACAAGACGATAAAAATTGTATTATGGGCATTAATAGTGCTTAGTGAAGGCAGAACTGTACACACTTGACTATTTTGAAGACGTTAATGTTTTATAGCAAATGAGTTCGTTGTATATAATTAGAGGTGAAATAATTTTGCTATGTTCAGTTTTAGTGTCAGGATATTTACATTTGGAAAGTTCTTTTATAGAAATGGCAGTGTTTGATAGCATGATTTGAACAAATCGTGTCATTTGCTTTGTTGTTACATAGCTACTGTACATATAAAACGACACTTTGCATGCTTAGTTTGCACGAAAGAAATGCTTTACTGCATTCGTTAGAAGGGACATGACATTCGATTGTGTTGTTTATTTGTACAAATTCTGAAAGAGACAGAAAATAACAAAAGTCCAAAATTATTGCGAACATTGTTAAAAAGGGGATTCAACTCAGTGACAAGAGTTTGAATCAAGACTAGTCATCTGATGACATGTTTCGATAAGGAGAGTTGTTTGATAGTCTTAGTCCACAGTATACTTCTGAATTCAGTGGAACTTGAAAGTGTACACCCTAAAATAAGAGGTAGTGGTTAATCTAGTTCTTAACCATTTAAATCTTTGTTGCGATATTGTGGCTCTCATTGTCATTGTTTTTATTGTAGTTTGAGTAGAATTTAGAGTTGGACAGATTTACGACCAAAGCATATTATTGTTACCAAGATTCTATTGATAGCTAAGGCCTGATTTCATTGTGCATGTCTTTATTATATCGGTGCAAAACAAAATTCAGTTTATCTGTGCTATGTATTGGAGTCAACAGTACTTGCCTTTTTTAAGATAGGGCTGCATTGCAGCATTCCAGAGCCATCTTAAGGTGCCAACATCATTTATAGTGAGTTTACAAGTTACTAACCTATGCAAAAATCTTTCATTTTGTGACACAAGCGGGCTTTCTTGTCCAAAGATAGTAAAAAGAGCCACAAGAGGGACATTGGTTGGTTTTTGTTTGACAAACTGATAATAATCAGGAGTATAGACATTCATAAGCTAGTTAAAGGTTAAATTGTCATTGGTATTTTCTAAATGATGGCATTGAGGTGTTTTTTGTGTCATGTAGGTGTTGTGGCATGTTAGAGCCACAGTTATGCATATTTTATTGCATTGAGTTACGTGTATATAGTTTGACTTTGAAAAGGTTTTGAGTTTTTATTAGCAGGAACTTTTGAAAATAATACAGGAATAAGATTTAATCAGAATGATTCGAGAAAGCCATATGGTTATTATTGTTTTTTGGAAGTATAAGAAAAGGTGTAATTTTCTGTCGGCTTGCCTCTGAAAATTAAGGGGCCGGAAATGTAGATGCCAAACTAATGCAAGAGCGCCATCTCTTGTCGGTTTTAAAATTTAATAAGTTTGAGGGGAGGAAAAGCGCGAATAATCACTGGCAGTAACCCTTGGAAACAAGACAGAATTTTAACCTCTTCTCCCTACTTCATATTTCCGTTTTATGATCTTGTTTGGTTTTGGACAACAATTGGAATGGATGCAATCATTGTATAATAACATTGTGATCGACCCGACGTGAGTAACGTGAAATGTGGTTATAGTAAAGGCTTCAAAATTAAAGTTTTCGAGACATTATATTGGTATTCGACAATTGATTTCTACACTTGCAATTGCAATTCTACAGTACGTGTGAATAGTGTCAGATTGCGAGATATTAAAAGACGGAACGGAGCTGAGAGGAGCGTTGAAACTATAATAAGGTGAACTTGGGTTCTTGGCCAGTCAAAGGTGATCGTGAACAACAAGGGACCAGTGCAGTACCAGTCTGATAAATGAGAATATGACTAGAGAGGTCTATGAGAATAGAGCATGATCACTTGTGGGTGTATTTTGAGTCGAAAGAATGACGTGATTGGGCAGAATACAGTCAGAGAATTAATGTCGAGGTCTAAGCCTAGACCTCCAGACCTAGTCCAAAAAATGGAGAACTAAAGACAGACTATCTGACTACTTCAAGGTCATTTTGCACCCACACACTGATAAGATGTGATCTGTGGATTAAGAGCTTGAAGATCAGGAAATAAGTTTTCAAATTAATTTTCAGTTCTCAATTTTTTGTCACCAATTGACTAACTTAAAGTTGACTTGAGACGACTTTAAAAAATACTGATGGGTTTGGAGTTGCGAGTTGCGACAAGTCTTTTGTCAGGGAAGTTGTTGCTCGTCTTGGCAAATATGGTTTTGTAAAACACTTAGCGGACAAGCGCGTAGCCAGGATTTGATTTTAGGGGGGGCGGTAGTGAGCACGCAAAGCGTGCGAATCACTTAAAGAGCGCGCAAAGCGCGCTCCCTAGGGGGGTGGGTGCAGGGAGGGGGGAGTTTCCCCCCTCCAGCGCGAAGCGCGGAAGCTTTGAAAGAAGATGATTCGTTGTACCTTAATCCTTGTCTGCATTCAGTCCGCCCGTCCTGCGCGAAGCGCGGAAGCTTTGACGTATTATTAGACAAAGAAAACGATTCGTTGTACCTTTCCCTAATCTTAATCCTTATCTGTATTCAGTCCCCCTCCCGCGCAAAGCTCGGAAGCTTTGACGTTTCATTAATTTATTAGAGAAAGAAGACGATTCGATGTACCATTCTCGACTCCTCATCCTTATCTGAATTCAGTTTCCTCCTCTCCCGCGCAAAGCGCGGAGACTTTGAAGTTTCATTACATTATTAGAGAAAGCTAGACGACTCAAAGTACCGTTCTCGACTCTTAATCCTTGTCTGAATTCCGCCCCCCCCCCTCTCGCGCTAAACTCTGACGTTTCATTAAATTATTAGAGAAGAAGACGATTGGTTGTACATTTCTCGACTCTTAATCCTCGTCTGAATTCAGTCCCCAGCTCCCCCCCTCCTCCTGCGCGAAGCTTTGACGTATTATTAGACAAAGAAGACGATTCGTTGTACCTTTCCCGACTTTTAATCCATATCTGTATTCAGTTTCCCCCTTTCCGCGCGAAGCGCAGAGGCTTTGACGTTTCATTAAATTATTAGAGAAAAAAGACGATTCGTTGTACCGTTTTCGACTCCTTTTCCCTTTTTCTTTTTTCTTTTTTATGAGGTATGATTTTGGATTCGAGAACGCACGTAACGCAACCGTGCGCGTCATTTAGAGCTGTCGAATGTGTACGACCAATTTTACATGTACGATTTTTAGTACAGATACTTGGTCAGTTTTCTTCTTATATCTTTGGTTTTACAACATTTAAAAATATAATTTCTTCAAATCTGCTCCTGACTCGGTTCAGACTAATTGTCTGATGTGTTTTCAAGTCAATTTTTTTAATATATTTTTTTGCATGAATTTGCCTAGCATCACTGCATTTTTTAAAACTTGCACATCACTGTTTTATTGTATATAGAAATTGTACACCCTTTTGTTGTCTGCACCTTCACCTGCTGTTACAACTCATCCCATCTCAGTATAGCTTGGGAAAGCTGCTTTAGGGATTACCTCATCAACTACAAGTATACTGCTGACTACATGTCCGACTCTGCAGTGCAGTGTGAACTGTGAACTACTACTCACTGCACTGGGTTACACATTATGTTAAATCTCATTCACACAACACAGTTTATAGCCTTTGGGACCAAAGGCAAGACGTATACCACACCTAGAGACACCAATACATTTATAACAAAGGAATATGACTACTTACACCCATTTGCTGTTGCATTTCAGCAATTCTACGTGCTCTTATTGCTTCAAGCTCACTGTCACCCATCTTTGATTCCAGTAATACAGATTTTATATTAACAAAAAATTGATATTAGTTCGACTTTCGACTGGCAGTCCGCATGAGCTGTTGAGTTGAATCGGAATTGATTGGAAATTGTCTTACAGCCTTACAGGATAAGGAAAAGTTATTTATTTTACCAGTTAGTAATACAGAGACAAGGCGACCAGAAGAGGAAAGCAGAAAGAGGCTAATTTTGTGAAGAAACTTTGGTAATTTCATTAAAGTTCCCTCTGAAATTGTTGCAGTGAACTGGGTATTCAGTCCCACCTTATTCCATTCGTGTTAGCTGTGCAGATGTTGTTAGCACTTGTGAGACTGTGACTAAGGAGGAATTACGACGAGACAGAATAAGAAGAGGATATTTGCGATCCATTTAATCTAGTGAGCTAAGTACTGCACTAACAGAAAATGGCACTTGGGTTTTTGGTAAGTGGTTCTATGAATGATAGAAAATTTGTAGATGTGTTTGAGTTTTATATTTGTTTGTTTCTGTGTGTTTTTCATATCGGTTTTTATATCACTTTTTATCAGTTTTCAATTTTATATCAAATTTTCATGTTCATGTCAAAATTAAAAAAAGTAATAACAAAGATGCAACAACTTTAAAATGTCAACCTGTCAATTCATAATGATTTGCACTTTAGCTCCACATTGCAAGCAAAAATATAGAGAGTCTAGTCTAAAAAGATTTACAGGTAGTGTGATAAAGTTGTTTGTAAATTGTAGATCTGAGATATTAGAAGTAGAAGTTAGAACCTAGTCATGGCTAGTGTAGCTTTAGTACAGTACATGTACTAAAGCTTTAGTACATGTCAAAAGATTCATGATCAATGAAAGGTCTTCTTTTAACTTGGAGGTCTTCAAATTTCATGTACATGTATGTTTTTATTATATTATTATTATTATTATTATCATTATTATTTTATTAACAAATATTTTATTATTTTGTGGTTGGGCTATGTATTATATATTCTTGTATTACTTACTTACTTACTTGGTATACTTGGGTGTAGAGACTGGAAGCTTGGCTTATTTGTCCCTCTTTACTGCTGTATCCCGTCTCACATATGGTTCAAACTTAATTGGATTGTTTCTCCAATACCTTTCTAGGGATGACTTGAATTGGTTAATGGTGGTAGAATTGACTACTTCCTTAGGCAGAGCATTCCAATTATTTACACTCCTTATTGAGAAACTATACTGCCTAAGTCTTGTGTTGAAACGTTGTTTGACAATCTTGAAATCATGGCCTCTTGTTGTTGAGCCAGTTGCTAGTTGGAAGAATTTTGAAGGATTCACTCTGTCAAAGCCTCTCAAGATTTTGAATATCTGTATCTGATCTGCTCTTTGTCTTCTGTAAGCCAAAGTAGGAAGTTGTAGTTCTCTAAGTCTGTCTGGGTATGCTTTTTGTCTCAGCTCAGGAAGAAGTCTGGTGGCCCTCTGCTGGACTTTTTCTAGTATGTCTTCATCTCTCTTGAGTATTGGGCACCATACAGAGTTGCAGTATTCTAGTGTTGGTCGAATAATAGCTTTGTAGAGACTAAGGAACCCCTTCTTTTGCAAGGCTGAAAACGACCTTCTTATCATTCCTAACTTAATGTTGGCTCTCTTGGCAGCATCTGCTGCATGGGTGCTGAAGGACAGGTCCTGTTGAAACAGCACTCCCAAATCTCTTTCCTCATTACCAGATGGAACTGAAAATATATTTGTACCAGCAGCCAGTGTGTAGTCAAAACCTTGGTCCTTTCTTCCATAATGTACTTTGCATTTACTTTCATTAAAGGGCAATTGCCATACATTGGACCAGTTTGTTACAGTGTTGACATCCATCTGTAGCAAATCTGAGTCAGCTTTAGAGTCCACTGTCCTGTATAACTTAGTGTCATCGTCAAAAAGCTTCATGTGGGAGTCAACAGTTGATGGCAGGTCATTGATGAAGACATTGAACAATGTTGGTCCGAGCACACTTCCCTGCGGAATACCGCTTGTCACAGGAATAGATCTCGACTCTTTCCCATTTACTGCAACTTTTTGAGTCCTGTCTGAGAGGTAGTCTTTAATCCAGGCAAGTAAGGGACCTTCTATTCCGTAAGACTGAAGTTTACATATGAGCCGTTGATGTGGCACGCTGTCAAATGCTTTCCGATAATCCAGATAGACGCAGTCTACATTATGACCCTGGTCAATGACATCTGTCCACTCCTCGCAAACTTCTAATAGCTGAGTCGAACAAGATCTTCCAGCCCGAAATCCATGTTGTTCATCACACATTATCTACTTGTACATATTGAATAATTCCACAGCAACCTTTATTTTAACCAAATCTTTGTCTTTGTCATCTGATTTCTATCTCCTTTTACATGTAGGCTGGCTTTGCATCTGGGACTCTTTTTGGTGTATATCTTTCCCAGCATTATGATGTAAGTGAATATCGAACTAGTTATCCTTATATTTTCAGGATTTGATGAAGGATTAATGCTTAGATAACCCAGAGACAGTCATATCTGTTTGTGCATAAGAGGGTCTCAGTGTCTTTTTTGTTCTTTTGTAACATTCAGTATTTACATGTCAATGACTTTCTACTAAATCTTTTCCAGTAATGTATGTATTTTCAAAATTACTAACATTTTGAAACTCCAAAAATGAATCTAGATGATATTTGTGCAATTAATAAAAGCTTCAAAATACTGAATTTGTCAAAAAGCTGTGTTCTATATTGTTCCTACATCTATACTATTATAAATCACTGCTTCACAAATAAAGTGAAATCTAAAAGTAGCCCAGCAGTGATGGACAGGAGCTGCAACTAAGATTTTGTGATGGAGATAGGGATTAGCTAAAAGCCTAAAACTCTTTATCTAAAGTATGGATGATTGGATGTGCTATAAATAATTTATTTTTCTGAACTGTTTATTTAGATTCCAGATGTAGCCAACTTGCTGGCAACATTCAAAGAAGCTTCCAAGAAATATGAGAAGAAGGACGACAAGAAAGATTCATAACCATGATTCTTTAAAGGTAGTCTATCTCTTAGTCCCCTGTGGCATGATTTGAATATTGTTAGTTTTATAAATAGGCTAGGTAGCAAAAAGTACTTGCTATCATTCTTTGAGATAAACAGCCAGTCATTATTACAAGACAGCAAGGTTGAAAGTGGAATTTTGTCAAAATAAATAGATTTAATGCTATGCAATCAAAGGTATTATCAGTAGATGGATCATTTTATTATCTGTAAATTATTGTATTACATTTAAAAAGTCAATTAAAAATCAAATCGGGCCCTCTGAAGATATGTATGTCAATGGTATAACTTAACTTTTTATTTTTTATTTCAGTCATTGAAAATGTTATCATTAAGTTAATGTAATAATCACTAAGTAAACATTTCTTTAAATCAACACTTTAACATCAACTTTTACTATTACTTGTAGAGAAACTGTCAGCTTGATCATGGATAGACTAGCGTTGCTACAAAATAATTGTTTTGTCTTGAATGAATGCAACAATATTAAGAATTTTTTATTTTTTTTCATTTTTGTCCTTGATTTCAGATTCCAGGATATTTGTAATGTGGTGGTGATGGCTTATCCATTGGACCTATTCTCATCATCCTTGGGCCACCTTGAAAGACCTCTATTCTTGTAATTCCATATAAAAAGAGTAGAAATACTAACAAATTAAGATGAAGCTATTTATAGTGAAGACTTCAATCCAAAATGTATTTTAATTTCCATATGTGGTAGCTATTTTCAATTTTTGTAATTATTTTTTTCACTTCCGGTCCCGCTTTCATCAAAATTTGTAATAACAGCGAGTCACAATATATATATATATATATATATATAAGCTACAGAAATCACTGCATTTGATTGGCTGTTAGCAAATTTTGTTACAAATTCTGACAGTTTTGGTTCATAAAAAGTTTCATGGAACAGGTTATAACATGCTATAATGATATCAACAATCATTGCAATATATTTGTAGATTTTTGAAAGTGTAACATTCATGTAATATTCATATGTTTATGTATCACTAAATAAAATACATGTTTTGCCTTAAGATGTCATCGTAGACAGAGTTTTCTCCTGTGACCAATAGGTCTTAAGAGTTTGAAGTCAAATTGATCTGTACATATTGGAAGATGGAATGTACATGTATATCACAATTATATGAGATTTGAAATAAGAGCATTTAAATTGTTTTAATTTGTTCATGCGTGTGTAACTGTGTACCATAGGTTAATTCATATAGATGAGTGATACTTTTGTCGCTAATGAACCCTTTTTTTTTCAATTATCTTTCATTTTCACTTCTTCAGAGGGGGTAATTTTGTCCAGGGGGGGGGGGGGAATAAAGATAGAACATAGAATGATGATCAATTGCTGATAGAGACGTGATTTATATCCTTTTTAAAATCAATAATCATTAAAAGTAAAAGGTTATTTTCTGTTCAAAGAAAACAGGTGAAAATTAAGCACTCTTGAATTTCAAGTTTTCCATCTCAAAGACAGAAATAACAAAACCTCAATTACAACTGATATTTATGATTTTCTTGTCGAGTTTGGTTTCTTGGGTCAAGAAAAACGTGATTAATCTAATCTAATATCTTATGAATTCGACTTGATTTAATTTTGAACAAAGAGAAGAGATCCTGCTTCTTTTTCTTCTCGTCTCCCACAGGTCAACTGATGTTGTCTTCATTTGAACACTTTATCAAATAAAATTGGATAAAACTACTGCTAATAATAATAATAAAACTGGGCTTATTATGCCCTTTCCACTGATGTTTTTAAGTGCAGTAACAAACATTGATGCGCTCACAAAGATGATTACACGAAGGCTATATTTCAATTTGCATCTCTAAAAATACACTATTTGAAAAATATGGATACTCATCAGTGATAAATATTTTTGTATAATAATGTTTATGTTTGTTAATGTAATTTGATATCTTCTTTGATATTTTAGTACATGCAATGTAAATTAAAATGACTTTACACTGACTGCACTCTGAAACTATGTCTTATTTGAACTTTACTGTGTTATATTTCTTTACATTTATGTTGGAAATAATAATGAAATAAAGATTAATACAATTTGAGAGCTGAACCAACTCAGAATTAGTTTAGCTCTCCAATTTTAAGAATTTATAGACTACTATTTTATCACAACAATATAGATACTCTGATGGTGATGCTTTCATTGTGGGAAATTCATTGTTATTTGCTATTATTTCACACTCCCTGTATAAGAGTTCCTTTATTGCGGAAAATCATGTGCAGAAAATCAGGTTATCAGATTTTCCCTCTTTCAATAACAAAAATGTTTTCAACACAGATCAAACCAGGTCAGGAGCACATGTAAGGAGTGGGGGGGGGGGGGGCATGTGCTATCTGATACAATTTTTGTTTTCTTCACTATTGCAAATAGTTATTTAGGTCTGAAATCATTTTCCCCCTTTTATGCAGTTATATGTCTTCAATTGGTTTACATATTCATTTATTCAATGGTAGGTTGACATGACTGGATGGAGTGATTGTGATGATGTTTGGTTATTTAAAGAATGAAAGAATTGATTACATCGCAATAGATGTTTGAAAAGATGGTATTTAAATAAATCGACCAAACCTATCAAAGAAAAAACATGCAACTTTAGTAGACAAATATATATATATATGTCAAAAAAACTTGTCTTTAACAATTTCAAATTTGATGAGTGTTCATTTCAAAGTGCAACCTTTTTTGAGCAAACTGAAGTGTGCCAAAGAAAGAAAACCATGGACACATACATGCATAAGTGAGAGTTTAAAAATTTGACAAAAGAATTACGGTAGAAATTTTTGAAATTTTTGGGAAATTTAAAATCACATGTAATCTCAGATGATGGATTTGCCATTCGAATATGGAATTATAGGGGACAGCTTTCCCTTTTGTTGTATACTAAATTTTCATGATTTTAAATTTATCTTCAAAGCCACCTTTTCCTTGATGGTGCCCCTTATAAAAAAGTACCATGGAAACCATGTCTTTTTAGTCCAAATTACCATCCACCATGGTAACCATGGTTACCATGGTATCAAACAATGATAAACATAGGGTCATCTAACAATGTATTTCATTGTTTGGTACCATGATTACCATGGTGGATGGTAATTTGGACCCCAAAAAAAACATGGTTACCATGGTACTTTTTTATAGACCTGCTTGGGGTACATGGTAGCATGTTGATATAAAAGATCCTTCTCATAAACATTTTGATAAATGATGTTCATGCCAATTTTGTTTGCATTAGAAATTGTTGATATGTCCTCATTACCTCATTTAAGATCATTGTGATATCTTTTTTTAAATAAGTAGATCTTCAAAACTAAACAAACTATCTTAAATTACTAATTAAATGATCAGAAAATTAATGATCGTGAAGAAAGATATAAAGTTAACAATTTATTCAGGCATTTACACTGTACATGCTTATACATATCTGTCTGCCTCACACATGACAGTTTACCTGAAATTTGTTTAAAAGTTTAAAAGACAGCAAAATAAAAATGTAAAAACAGACGGCATGAACATTTTGGGTGTGGGAGCTCATCTCAAATAATCAACTAGGGACATACCTGCCGTTATGAATATGCATTTTGTAATCTAATTTGCATAATTGATATCGGTCTTCATGACTCCGTTTTACGCCCTGCTGCTGTACCCCGAGTCTGGAGATTTGCCCACATTTTCACATGTTTTGTTCCTCATTCTGGAATTAAGGTTGAGCTATCCTGCTCCAAGATGAGTCAAGCATTATTTGATGCCCTTGCTGGTAAGTAAAATGTTCTTAAATTATATTTCATAGCAAATCCATCTCAAATTTTCAGTCCGAGTTGCTCTTCTGCGCTGCGCTGCTCTTGCTATCCACATTACACACAATACACGAGGTGATTGTATTCTCGCGCTACATGTCGGGCGGCTGGGCCCGGGCGATAAACGTTAGGACATGCAAGTGTTGTGTGTAGCTGTGGCGCTTTCAAAGCAAATTATTTTCAGCTTGCCAATTTCCCTACAATTCAGAGCCTAATTTTCAAATCAAGTCGAACCTAAAGGCTAGCATGCTATCAGTCATTTGATATGCAATTTTCTACAGGGCAATATACAATTACAAATAAATCTATGAGTAATTATTTTCATGCTATATTTTCAAAAGACAAATTTTGGGGGTGTAGGAATCTTTGCTGGAAAAGCAACAACAACCCATCGCCATGTTGGCTTTGTCCGGTACGAAATGAATATTCATGAATGGGTATTTTCTCGTAGAGCTTTGACCAATCACAGCATAGTATCGTGGACTACATTTTCGAAGCACCTGTAACAAAAACAAAATTGTTCATCATTTTTCAGGGTTATCTAGATCTATAAAAACTTACAGAAGTAAAATGGACAAAACATGAGTATCTCTGTTGTTTATCATGATTGAACAATCAGTGAAAAATGTATACGGTATGTGAAACAAAGTTATAAATTGGTTGCTAACTAAGTAGGTCTAGATAAGATTTACTTGTTGAAGCTGACAATTCAATCCTAATTTCTTTTGAAGATCAACTACCAAAGCATTAAAGGTCTAATTAGTTTCAATATGTTCTAAATCTAGAGGATCTATTATGTTTTTGTATTATTATTATTATTATTTATTTGGCATTTCAAACATTTCAAACATACAATACAATACAAGGTTTTTTTTAGTTTAAACAAATGTAAATATATATATAGAGGTCTATATAATACATATCACAAAAACATAAATCATTTAATTTTCAGTAATCTATTTTAGTGTAAAACTTTTAGTTTCATTTGATGCATATTTATTATACATTGTCATATATGTTCACAACATTTTAAAATGTAATATATCGTTGGTGGGGTGACAAAACCTTTTATCTCAATTTTTTGAGATTTTGATTTTTTTGCATAATTTTGTATCTAATGGCCTACGACACCACCTGATAAATCCATGGAACGCCTCCTTCTCGGTTTTTTCACAAATTCCACACAAACACCCTTTAACTAAACCTCGTAACTTTAACCCCCTTTGAAGCTGCACTGACAAAACCTCGTAACATAAGATTTGTAATTCCTTTTCCTCGTAACTCACACACGGCCTAACAGTACTGAAGTTAGTGTATTCAAATCCTCTTAACTCATTCAGAGTTGAAAGTAAGAACTCATATCTCAATTTGAATAAAAACTAAAAACTTGTATCTCAATGTAGATAAACGCAAAAACCTCGTAACTCACTTTCAAATATAAAAACAATTGTTTTACTGTATTTCAACAATGACATTAAAAATTGTATAAATATTACAGTTTTAAAAAGAAAGGACGGTGTCACAGCACTAAATTTGGTGAGACAGGAAAGTTTTTTGCTCTCCTGAAAATTCATGATTTTTGAGATACAAGGTTTTGTCACCCCACCGAGGATATGAAATTGATGGAAGAAAAAAAGTTGTCACAAATTCATTAATTCAGTTTTATAGAATTGTGTGCTCTACCTGTATTGGTGACAAGGCTTTATATGTGATAGATATCAATGCACTGGAACACTTTTATGAAATAGATTTACCCTAAATGCCAACTTAAACTGGCTTTGATACTGAGAAAGACGGCTTACTGTTATTACTCAGTATATATACAGGTATATATCTATTAGCCCCCACGTCTCTGGAACAAACTCCCCTCATTCTTAAGAAACAGTACTTCACTAGATTTCTTCTAAAAACAATTGAAAACTTACCTGTACAACTCCTCTCAAATTGTCGATAGTCAAAGAGACAGCACCTTGTATCCTTTGGAAAAGGCACTATATAAATCCAATTATTATTATTATTATTGTCATTATATGTCAAAAAAAGCTGTTATCCTATATATGATTGTTCTTTTTTTGTTTGTTTTCTCCCTTCACACAGGCATCGATGGGAGTGGTTTAGGAATGCAGGGTCTCTTAGAGACCACTCCCACACACACCATGACAACCATTGTTCAAGATCAAAATGCAGGTAATTATGTTCAATCTTTGTCCAAGTAAAAAGTCATTGAATAAAAATTGATTAATTTGGCCTAACCATCATGCATACATTAAGTCATTTACAAGAAGGAGGGCTTGTTTGTATTATTATTATTATTATTTGACATTGTGGCATTCACATGTAAAAGAGATATAGACATGTGATAGATCATGGACTTACATTACAATTTTTCTTTAAAGGGAACTCTAACCCAAATAGACATCTACTCTAAAAGAAAGCAGAAAAATCAGAGAAGCAAACTGATGAAAGTTTCAATCTGACTAAATATAAGAAAGTTATGAATTTTTTAAAGTTGTAAAAAGTACGTACATGTGTGGGCCCTTCAAATTGGATGACAGGGGAAAATATACTTTAAAGATTTCGGGGGCTACTTTTCAAGCTACATGTAGCTTGCACGAAAATAACACTCTTTAATTTGTTTTGCATTGAACTCTATGCAAAGTTTGGGAGCTCTTTTATGACTTTCGGGGGCTCTTTTGGGCTAATTTGCCCCGAGCCCCCATGTATTTTTCTCACTGTTGGATGAAGCGGTAATGTCAATGTGATGTACATGTAGTGCCGGACTACTTTCCCATCTGTTCCAACATAAAATGACAACAATTTAATTTTTTTTAAATCATGGCTCAGGAGGATCTATTGTTTTTAGAGGACCTATAATAATATGATATCTATAATATATTTGAGTAGTGCCCCAAGGGAGAAGGAACTTCAAGAAAAACAAAAATTGATGATATTTTTGTAGAAATGGGAGAGTTTGTATATTTATTTATTTCTGATATTTAGACAGTGTCTCATCACCAATAATGGTGGTCTTCTATGAGACCCTGTTGAACATAATAAGGAACTTTAGTCTTTAAAATAAAAATTAAATGATAATAATACTAACTAAATCATGAACATAAACTCATAACAGCAAAAAAGCTGACCGAACTACCAATTTGAGATTCGCAAAATAGACATAGTGATCTCATATATCAAACATTCATAAATTCCTTACTATTGGTCCGATTTATCTAAAACGTTTGCCATTCTGTTTCTGTTATTTTTCTGCTTTCATATAAATCAACTTATTACAAGGGTTGGATTGCCCTTTAATAGTCTCACTCTTAAGACCAAAATTTGTTCTGCTGCCTACCTACTTTGGGCAATATTTCATGCAAATTCTCATATTCCAAGCCAATGTTTAATTTTATTTGTTATACTTCACTGGTGGCTTTATCAATTGATGTAGACTAAATGCATTTATGTAGCTGCCACAGACCAAGTTTTAGTATGCGTTGCTTATGTATTCCCTAAATGTAGTCTGGACACATAATACATTACTGATGATTTGCCCTCACTTATTATGGTTCATTATAATTGCAGGTGTGGATGAAGAGGATATCTTTCAGTGTGGCAAATGCAAGAAGCAGTTCACATCACTCAACTCCTTCATGAACCACAAGAGAGAACACTGCATACCACCCATCTCAACACATCCCATCCATACCATAACAACCCTACCCCGCCCTCAACCCATCCCTGCTGCTGCTCCACACTCTGTCAACAGTGCCTTCTCCACCCTCACCCAGACCTCACTGGGGAATCGTCTATCCCTGGGCGGGGGCGGTATTGGACCGGTGCCCCAGTCCCCATTGTCTCAGCTACCATCCAACATGGTGCTGGGTGAGGAGGTGCTGATCTCGCAGTTTGCCAACGTGGAGCAGAACATTCAGCAGCTTCAGAACACCCTGATGAACTCTGGTTCGTTATCCTCGGCACCATTCATCACGTCTCAAGCTGCCTCCAGGCTCCTCACCTCCACCACACCGGTCTCATCAGGCGGCTCTTCCATGTCTTCTAACTCTGTACAACAGACTCTCAATATTGGCCAGGTAGGCAACCCTCTACAATGCTAGATATATGTTATGCGAGATTATGGGATGATTTTTGTCATTTATCAAGTGCGTTATATGTATGCTATTTTGAAATATGATATATAATTCAGAAAATGAGTTGACAACATGAATAATTATTTGTTATCATACATTAAAATGAGGCAATTATAATTTATATATTATATTTGAGCCAATGGATTTATCTGTAGAGTTGTGAATATAACTGGATGAAGCAGGATTCCATCCTAGATTGAAATAATTTTACTAAGAGTGAAAAATATTTTTTCATTTTATTCTTTCTGAATGTGTACAGCTGCAGCATACATTTTGAATGGAGTTATGTTGAGTAAATACAGATTGTTGCAAGAGGGGTATTTATGGACTTGAAATCTGATGTCCTCCACAGATAATAATACTGTGTTGTTTTTTTTATATTGCTCTCTTGCAGGTGACCAATATCCAGATAGTCCAACCCAACGGTAACATCACATTACAGCAGGTACTCCCCAACTCCAACCAACAAGATCAACACCAGCTCCTCCAGCAACAGGGTCAAACCCTGATACAACCTGCAACCATCATGCAACAGCAGCCCCCTCGGAGTTCAGGGGTGCAGGAACTGACCCGCATCGCCCCCATGACTAGCCTGGTCCAAGGGGGTGGTGATGGTAGTGACCCTCTGAACAGACCTGATCATATCTACAGCCTGACTGCAAGGAGGAAACGTAGGGGAGAAGCTGAGAGCAAGAAGCCAGGAAAGCTGAGGTACTATACAGAGCAATACCTACAGCGTAATTGGCTTGCCTCTTTTGGTTGCCTGGCAAAACGTCGCTTAGCGCTACACTCCCTTTTGCCGGGAAGTTAAATTGTGCGTTCTGGCTTTTTTGTTTCCAGCAAAACTTAGTGTAGCAAAAGAAAGATATATTTGCAAATTAATTTGAGAACATAATAAATCAATTAAATATCTTTCTCTAAGAATAGTTTTGGCTACATGGAACATAGAAACATTGTCGTTTTTAGCACCTGAAGTAGGTGTTAAAACTACAAAAGGTTTTTCTCGGTTCCCCCTTTTTTTACCAGCGCCCACGCTACGTGACCTTTTACCGGGCAACCAACGACATGTTCATCACAACAGTCTCAGAGGGCTTTGAAAATCCTTATCCTAACATAGTTTAGCAGACTATATAATGCTCAAAATCTTTTCAAGGATATTTGTCATTACTAAACTTACGGTGAGAAGGATACTAAAGATGAAATACTTTGTTTTCTGAAGGTTTATGCAACCAGCCTGGATTTGAATACTGTGTTTCAAAATCTAATAGAAACCTGCATTTCCACAGTGCCCCTATTATTTATTAGACAATGAAGAATATTTTTGTATGTTTCTAGAATTATTTACAAACACACATGATTTCAACTGATATTTATTTATCATATTGATATTCAAATCTTTCTTTCTAAATTACATTTGTAATGATTGACGTATATGTGTGCATGTTCAAAGACACCCCAAACACCTATGTCATATGTATCAGTGTTCACAAACTCTTATTTAATCTCATGCATTCATCCTCAGATGTAACTACTGTGACAGGACATTCGCAAAGAACTTTGATCTGAATCAGCACCTACGCAGCCATACAGGAGAGAAACCATTCCAATGTATTGTATGTGGACGAGCATTCGCTCAGAAGTCTAACGTCAAGAAACACATGCAGACACACAAAGTATGGCCACAGGGCAAGAGAGCAACTCTGCCTAATAAAGTAAGTTAGACTTATAAACGTGTCGTTAAATTTTCATTTTCTTAAAGGTATTACAAAGTTTTGGGAAATTTTGAAAAATGGGTGGATAGTAATTCTTTACAATTTTGATATATTTGGATGCCCCTGTGGATGTATTAATACAGCAGAAATTGTATTACCTTTAAAGGTAATACAAAGTTTTGGTATGGGGTCATGAATTTGGTTCAAATGAACATATTGGATGCATATGCGATCCTACAATATTCAGTGATCGTTGTCGAGGTCTAAATGGACTCTAAATTTATGAAATTGTAAATAATAAACACATTATGTTGTATAGCTCCCTCTCGAGGTCAAGATATTAATTAGGCTATAAAACAATGTTTCTTGACTAAAATCGACCGATTATATATTCCCGTTCGGAAATTATAAAGCACAACTACATATTCTGAGATTTTCATGGTCGCAGCTACTATTGTACGGCCGTAGGAGCTATTTGAAATTTATCAAAATTTACCGGGAGCACCGGTAAATCTTTATATTCAATATTTCTCGAAAGCAGAAGTGTTTTAGGGGCTAACATTTCTAGTGCTTTTAATTCATCCACAGGGGCATCCAAATATATCAAAATTGTAAAGATTCACTATCCACCCATTTTTCAAAATTTACCAAAACTTTGTAATACCTTTAATGTACTTACATCATGAAAGATAATTTTTTTTGGCTGTACACCCAAGGCTAAGGATCTGCTGTATGTCTGTGTACTGGAAATTAAAGTACCTGTATTCTTTCTTAAGAATCTCTTCTGTGATTCTTCCTAACATTAAGAATCCCAAAATTTGCATAATTAAAATTTGAATTCATATGTCGTACTTATGTGTGTGTGTGTGTGTGTATTTTTGTTTACATTTTACCTACAAACACTATGTAAATGCAGCTGTCCATATGTAATGGGTCAGTGGTATTGTGTTTCTTTAATCACTGCTGTCTGTCTTTGTTGCTGAATGACTGAAACTTCATCAGAAATCAGAAAGTAAGTGTGATACTGCTGTGTTTACTTCTATCATAAAAATAAATTGTTTGTTTCAGAAGTGATGATGCATGTTTCTATTCTCTTTAGATTTTTCAAGTATTGGTTCTAACTGCTATTTCGTCTTTTTTTCTTTCAGCCTATTTTAAAGGTTACCAATCTTGGAGAAGAGAATAGTGCCAAAAATGCCAAGATCCGTTTGGATGCAGGTATGTTACTTTTATGAATTGGTAACAAACTACATAGAGAGATATAAGGAGAGATAAAGAAAGACTGAGACAACTTGAGGAAGAAAATGAGAGAGAGAGAAAGAGAGCCCTGGGGCAAAAATTCACAGATCTTCATTTTCAGTGCCATCCCTACTATTTATTATATGCTATGAGACAAGGTATGTGCATTAGTCTAAATAAGACTGTCCAAACTCATTCAAAATGTGGAAACGTAATGTTGTACCCATGTCTGATTATCATCATCATAAATTAAACCATTAGTATTCAAATAAAGAGATCACATTAAAATTATCACCAAAGAAAATTAAAGGGCTATTTCAAGCAATTCTAACGTTAAACCCTATCAATTTGTATCTCCTAGGCGGCAGTCAGGATTTGCTGGAACCCATCCCAAGAGAAGAAATGCTGATTGATAACTCATATGTGTGTAACTTCTGCAATGAGAAGTATAAGAACTACTACCAACTGAAGACACACATGAGACAACACAAAGATGAACAGGTATGATTATTATTATTTGATTTGCCAAATTAATTCACATAAATACAACAATATAACAAACATGAATTGGGACAAAAGCAATAGAAAACATATATAAATATTGCAATAGCAGGTGCATCTGGTCAAGCTGCCCGGGTATGGAAAAAGTTAACCTAATAACTATGATCCGCAGACCTTCCTCCCCACCTGACCAGATGCACCTGATATTGATTGAAATAAAGTTTAAAAAGAAAAGAAAGATGAGAAGAAGAAGGAGAAGAAAAAAAGGGGGGGGGGGTGAAGGAGGGGAAAAAAAATCAATTAACATTGCATAATTTTTTTTTAAAGTTGCGATTTTTGTATTATTACTTGATGATTTACCCATGATTTACAGTGATCCACACTTTTCTATTTACTAGCACAAATGGAATTTACATGGGCAAAATGTGGATGACATGATATTATAATTTATTGATAATGAGGCCATATTCTTCTGTGTTTTATATTTCATACCACCTCTACTGCCATAATGGTGGATGTTTTTATATCAATACCTTTGCCTGGCCTTTAACATTGTCACTTTAAAGCATAGGAAACTACCTCTTGGATGATCGCTTTCCATGGAGACCTCAATATCAATATCATTCACCAGAGATCTTGAAAAATGAGGTTATTGTGAGAATCTTAGGAGGATGGGAGGGGTCAGTGACACAAAGACGTAACTCCATTTTTGCCATTTTGAGAAAAAGTGGTTTATGTGTCAGTGAGCACTTGGGCCTTAAGGAGTCAAGTCTATGTTTCCCCAGCCTTTGACTTCACTGGGGTGTTGGGCGTAGTTAAGTCTTTTTGTTTCCTGGAAAGCCCACATTTTTCTGAACATTTTGATATCAAATACTCATTTTGGTAAAATATGGAGTTACCTCTTTATGTCTCTGAACTCTTTGATTTGTTCTTCTTTCATTTTCAGCTGTACAAGTGCATCGTGAAGACCTGCTCCCAGAATTTCAAGAATCTAGATGAATTCCTAGAACACATCAGAGCACATGACAAAGAACTGTCCTACCGATGTCACCTATGCAACAAGCAGTTCAACGATCTCAATGATCTAGGTGTTCATCAATATTCACACAGTCTCTATCCTAACCAAGGACCAAAGCTTATTCAAAAGTAAGTCTATATATATAAAGTGATGCTACAACAGGGGGAATTGAAAACTATGTATATTCCTATGTTTGCAAGGAGTTTGCGATTGGGGAATATTAACTAATCTTACTTGTGATTTGTTGTCATTTCTTAAAACAGGTCATACCATTACAATTCTTTTTATAATTCATTGGTATGTGTGAAGGTGTTATAACCAATAATTGACCAGACCCAATTATTAGCATGCCAATTTTTATAATCTACCAGTACTTATTACAAAGTGTTCTCCCAAGTGCTTGGTTTTTTACTAGATTTGCCTGTGATATGATCCTGTACGAAACAAAGACCTTTGAATGTTTTCTCTGCTGTGCAGGAGAATTTAATCTAGAATGAACCATGCCATTTTCTTTCTCTTTTGCAGAGAATTTAAGTGTCCCAAATGTAACAGCAAGTACTCATCACCCGATGCTCTGGATCACCACATGAACACCTCATCACATAAGTTCAACTGTCCAGAATGTAACAAGATCTTTACCTGTGAGCGATACCTGCGGCGCCATCTTGTCTCCCACTGCACCCAATCCCTGCATGAATGCCTCATCTGTAACAAGAAGTTCAAGAGTGAGCACTATCTCAAGTCTCACATTCTCATCCACACTGGCCAGAAACCATTCAGCTGTCAGGTCTGCACCACAGAGTTTAACCGCAAGGACAAACTCAAGAGACACATGCTGATCCATGAACCGAATAAGAAATTCAAGTGTCCATTCCACTCAGTGGCAGGCTGCAACATGGCGTTCAACCGAGCCGACAAACTCAAAGCTCACATCATCACGCACAGTGGGATCAAACCCTTCAAATGCTTCCACTGCTCCAAGACATTCAGTCGCAGGCCTAACCTGGCTGAACACATGAAGCTCCACACCAACGACTTTCCTTTCCATTGCGACAAGTGCAACAAGGGATACGCCAGAGAGAAGTACTTGAAGAACCATAATTGTAATGCCAAGACGGGTCCCAAGCGGACATCATCCATTGAAGGCATCAGCCTTGAGTATGCTGCAAAGCTGATCGATGCTGGAGCTATCATGGACCCAGAACAAGAGCAGATCCAGAACAGCCTCGTCGAGGCCTTGGCGGAGAAGGCGAAGAAGAAGAGAGGTAGAAAAAGGAAAAGTGATCTTCAATCACAGAGAGCCAAAGAGGATGCAATGGAGGAAGAGGAGGTACGGATTGTCCACACAAAGACAAGACAGGTCAGGATGAGAGCTGGGTCTATGCTCAACAAATCAAAGAGAGCAAGGAAACCAAGGACACCTAGTTATAAAATGAAACAATCCAAAATGCAACAAACCCCATTAATGTCAGAGAAATCCACCATTGCTGCCATTGAAGAAGACCTTGCTATCATCCAGAATGTCCTCGCCCAACATAGCAACAACGTCAATGTGGATGTGGGTATGGAAGATCTTGACACAGACCATACGGACAGTGGACATAGCCTTGCCTCCTCTCTCTCTCGTCAATCTGGAGTGAACATCAGTCTCCCTTCAGAGTCTCTGATCCAGGATCCTATCAACTTGGAACCTGGTGATCTGAGTGGACAGATGGTTCCTGTGGTCACACACCGAGTTCATCGGCTTGATGATGAGAATGAAGTGGTGGTGGTTGTATCACAAACTTGAGTGTTTCAATTGCCTCTTCCCTTGTGGGGAAGACAAATCTTTAAAGAATGTTGAAGCTACATGTCTCTATTCTCTGTATATCTAAATATCAATGAGTTTAAGTGATAATCATGTCAGCAGAATCACTAGACAGGGATTACGTTACAATATTTATGACTGCTACTCAATACAATTCTTTTTTTCCGCATATACACCCGTCTATAGGCTTACTATAAATTACAATGCCCAACTTTTAACAGGACGAGATGGAATGGGGGAGTGCGAGCTCTCTATTTAGACCATTGGTATCGGGTGTTGTAAACCAAATCCACAAAGGACAAGAGCCCTCTATCAATTATTTCTTAAATCGACCCCACCCCCTCTCAAATAAAAAACATAACAACATATGTCTGTTGTAAGTTTTGTATTCATTTATAAATTTATGTGTATGGTTAATAGTAAAATAGTTGAATCATTTATAAATGAATAGGTGAAATGAGAAACACTCCTGACTTCTATATGAGGATAGCCAATTGCAAAATGGTTCCTGTTATATGAGGCTTTCTTCGAATCTTGTGGTTTGCAACATTTTCAAATTTCATGGCATTCTACCTATGCTATTATTAGCAAAGATAATTCTAAAAAGATCGATTAAGAAATAAATTAGCCCCCAAAATGCCCAAAACGAAAGTCATAAAAGAGCCCAAAAAAAAATTACATAGAGTTTAATGCAAAACAAATTAAAGAGTGTGATTTTCATGCAAGCAAGCTTGAAAAGTAGCCCCCCAAATTTTTAAAGTTTTTTTTTCCCTGATCAAAATAAAAGCAAGCAAGGGACATCATTAGTAGTACCTAACAGAGAAAGAAATATAGGATGTGATATGAAGAGAAAGATTGGTATACATGTAATAGTAAATTCCATAGAGTAAAATACGTGAAGCTGATGGTGATATGATTAAAAGAGAGAAGCTCATAAAATTAAATTGGAAGAATTGTTTTTAATGGACTCTCTGAATGGTATGCCAAATTCATGAAGATTACTGCCATTAGTGTACAGTGCAAGTGTTTTTCATTCATTTTGAAAACCCGAAAGCCAAAATGGTAATATTGAAACTACATAGAGGTGTATTTGTACAAAAGAATACAGATATAAATATTATTAACTTATTTCTATGATGGATTGATGATGAAAACTATTTTATGCTGTGCACGAGACCACTCCCCTTTGCCCATACATTTATGCCAAATCATGAACTTTGTGATTATATGTAGTTGGTTTCACTAATGAGATTTCAAATGCATTTTGCTGCAATGATTCGATGTATGGCATACACTGCCATGACATACTGTTGGTCTTTAATTGTATTTATTTTGTCTAAATTTGATGTTTAACATCATCATTAATTGTTACCAAAGTTTATTTAAAATTGATCTTCATTGATGGCATAAAGGATAGCGCTTCCTGTATTTAATAATTGTAAATCCTTTCTTGCAATTGTTGAGAAAGAAGTTTTTCTTTTTAAGCCCAGGCAAATTTTGCCGAAGGCCTAAAAAAAAAAGATGTTGTATTGCCCTTTGCGACCGACCCAAAAATCTTGAAGTCTGCGGTCAGCTTTTTTTTAAAATCAATTTTTAGGAAAAAAAGGTATTAAAGCATTCAAAATGAAAAATATCAGCCAAAAGAGGGAGTAAAAAAAAAGTTTTTAAAAATTTCTGACCGACCGATCCATGTTTTGGCACCTAAAGGGCAATACATTTTTTTTTTAGGCCCAATTGTTTTCTCAGTACTCTGGTAGTTAAAGGAATGCTTGGTGCCACCTTCAGTGAATAAATAGCAAGATATAATGTTCATTTCAGTACTTAATTTTCTGGGTGGGACACTTTCACATACAGCTTTCCAGGGCATTGTCATCAATTTTGGTATTACATGTTTGTCAAAGATTTCGTCTGCTGAAAGCCAGAAGGGTGTTAACTCTTTGTAAAAGTATACAATTAAGTTAACTTCCTTCTAGCGCTCAGCAGATGGGGGCATGATGAAATGTTGTGAGATTTGCTGAAATAAGAATGAAAATGCCAGTGATAAAATTATATAAAAGTAAAAGATGAGAAAAGTGTATAAACTGAGGTATGTGAATGGCACTAAAATACATTATTTGCCTTTAACCTCAGAAGAATGGATATGTTTATAAGTGATTAAATGCACGAATTGAGTATAATGTAAATGTTGACATATTACTGCAGATGATTTAGTAGTTTTAGATTGTGTGAATTTGCATTATTACATGTATTCCAAGATTTGTGTATAACAGGTACTATTTTACATTTGTCACTACTCATAGTTGAATTGCATATAAATCTTTTCTGAAAATATTTTTAAATTGCGAAGTTGTGATCGCTTGGTGTGCTGAAAGTAAAATTGTTTTATATACCTAATTGGCTCTAAAAGAATAGGAAAAAAAATAAGTTGTCATACCTGCCTCTACATCTTCAATTATCAGTTTTGACAACTACTTTATCCAGTGACCGTTTTTTGCTTATCTTGTCACTGAGAAACCTTTTCCATTAGAATATTTTAAAGTGCCCGTTATGACAGAATTCTCTGAATTTTTAGTAAATATTGAAAGACAAAACAAGGCAAGGGTGAAGTCTATCAGTGTGATAAATTCACAGAAAAGAAAATGCAGAAGTAGAAATGGACCTGAAAACCAAGATTTAGTGCAATGCCAATGGATAGGGAGGGAAAGAGGAAATGGAGGAGACAGAGATGGAGTCAGAGGAGAGAGAGAGAGGGGGGGGGGGGAGTAAGAAACACAAAAGAGGTGAATGAAAAAAATTATTTAGCTTGAAAATGCAATGAATACATGTAAATACTAGTGCTTTCACAGATATCTCACTCGGGGGGGGGGGGGGGGGGGGGGTTCACAAAGATCCCAAGTTGGACTTTAATTATGGAAAGCCGTTAGCATCTATGAAAATGGTAATTCAAATCATTCATATTTTCTATTGTCAACAAAATTTCATGTTCTTGATGTGGAATTTACGAAAAGTCTTGCTTTTGCTTTTGAATATATTTTATTCTTTGGCTACGAATGGCCCTCCATAATTTTGACGTCCAACTTAGAGTCAAGTTTGACTTAGGATCTTTGTGAAGCACCCCCCTGAACTCGAATCATTCTTTTGACTCTCCGCAAGAAGGTCGTTAATGCCATTGACAAGAAGTAGCTCTCACATCCCTGTTGCAGGCAGCCCACAATTTGCTCATACTTCTAATTTTCACAACAGATTGGTAGTGTTTACCATTTGTACGTTTCTTTTCCATTGTAACAGCGCTGCGATACGTTCGTCTGTAATAGCGCTCAATAAGAATCAATTATTATTATACCATTTCTACTTCACACTTTCTCTCAGTCCATTTTCCACAATATCTATTATTTATTCTTTTCTCCTCTTCCCTTTACGTTATGCACCTTCTTTCTCTCCTCCACTCTCTCTCTCGTTTCTTACCTCCTTCACCCATACTTATATTTTTCCTCATATCAGTCTTTCAAACTATCTCCGTTTTTCTCTCTCTCTCTCTTCCTCTCTTTTCATTGTTGCTGGCATCTATGCTTTAACCCCTCCCCCCCCCAAAAAAGGTGCTTCTTGCCATTCATTATACAGGCCAAGTTTAGCTGGGACGACTTTTAACGGGATCTAAACATGGCTTAGAGCTCAAAATACCCCCCCCCCCCCAATAAAAACAGCCACAAACATTTCTCCATGATCATAAAACATTTATTATCGATCATTACTACACCAACAAATCTGAACATATATATATAATCTATAAAATACAACCCGCATAATCCCGTAATAATTTATTTCACAGTCTACTTAACTTCTCATAATCTCGGAAGACATGAACACTCTCCTATTTTGTACCATAACTACCACATCAAAAAATGTGAGGAAGACAATTTATGGAAGATTGTTTTTTTGATGACACATCAAGAAAGTGGACATTATAGACGACAGGGGCTATTCATTTCAAGTCAACAATACATAGATCAAGGCACGAGTGGCTAAAGAGAATTTACCTTCTTGACCAAACTAAAGCATCAGCTTGACCAACATTATATAAAATAAGATTTGTGGTCAGATTTTGAAGGGTACTCGATCCAGGTTGAAAATTCACCTTTTTCTAATGAATGAACATATCAAATCATTCATAACTAAATGACATTATATTTGCTAGTCTTCATGATTTTTGACATATTTTTCAGACCTTTTCTTTAACAGGTTGAGGATTATTTGATTTCGCGATAACACACACTTCCCATAGATGACGGCCGGAGTATACTTATGTAACACCCTCAACAGGTTGACAAAGCATTAGGAATCCTCATAAAGCAGATATAAAGCAAAATTTTGATCCCAAAAAATCAAACTAATGTTGTAATGCATTTGTTTCATTTCACCCACATGATGCCTGACAATGTACATGTCATGAATTATCAAAATATGACAAGTCTTTTTACTTAGTGTTTAAAAGCTTAAAATGATATGCTATGGCCATATGAATATCTACATACTTCCAACCCAGATAACATTACAGAAAAAGAAGGATATGGTTTCTATTTTAAAATTTTGCAGCAATTACAGATATAAAAGAGGGCCAGAAGCAAGGAGATCTTAATATTTCCTATTTCATGAAGATTACAGAAATAACAAAAATGTACATATATTTTCAGAAAAAGAAAAAAAAATAGTTACAATTGCCACAACCTTTCATAAATCATAAAATTATCTTTTATAAATTCAATAAACAAATATGAAATCCCAATTTAATACATTCTGATCAGTTTCTATTTTTTCATAAAGATTTCTGCCAATCAATGACATATGTTAAAGATCCATTTTTATTTTATAAATGATTTAAATTAATCAGTCTTAACACAATCAATGTGCTTTGTAATAATATCGCAAACCTAAACTTATCAACAAACATATGCAAACGTCTTTTTTTACCATTTCAAATGTGAAAAGAAAAAATTCAACTCAATAATTTTGATAGTTTCCTTTAAAACAGAGAGTCACATAACTCTTAATGAATCAATACTTTCCATAATCATTTTAATATTTTACATTCACCAGGTAAAAGCCTTAGTCATTTTCAAGTATGATATAAACATTATTACACACCTGTCTCAGTAGTACAGTATCTTCATACATTGCTTGTGCCCAGTCTAAAACACATAAATATTTACAACCCTTTTTTTTTCTCTCCCCGAGAGATATATTCTGTGAATTAATCTCAACATATCAATTCTTTCATGTCCCTCCACTGAATATACAACTGTATGACTACCTATATGCAAGGAGGTTAAAACAATGTGTATGAAATAAATGCACCGTTATCAAGTCTTAGTCAGGTTAACTATTTAAAAGAAAAAATCATTTATGGACATATAATTTCCAATAAAATATTGCAGCAATTCGAATTCAAACAATTCAAGCCCTGTGGTATACCACATTTCTTGATTTTGATATTGATAAATGTGCCAGTAATGGAGAAATAACAACAAATACATATACATATTGTATGTGATACAGCATGAACATATTAAACAACAATCAGAATCAAGGATAACAACTTTTCAAGTTTTCAGAAGAAAAGAACTCATAACATAACACATTTAAATGATTATAGAACAATCCTTTCAACACTAGTAGTCAATTTCATCTTATACATGATATTTCATTCCAGTTGATAAAAATTCTAACTGTTAAATGAAAAACGAATCCCACTTGGAAATACATTTCATTTACATAAAAGTACAAAAACAGAATATGCAAATTAGTGTTCAGAATTTTAACTAGACTGTTTAGAAAGTAAGTTTGATGTCTTTTCTTCTTTTAATATTTGAAGATCACAAGTATAAACAACCAGAAATAGACTTACATCAATATGTTTCAGAAAAGAGAACCATATATTCCACACACAAATAGAATAGTTGTATCTATACCAGCATATCGGGTCCCACTTCAACACGGTAGTCACGACATGGGAATACCAAGACTTACTTTTTGCCAGGAAATTGAACTTCACCTTTAAATATCCCTGTATTTCAAGACTTTACACATACAGGCACAAATTATGACATCATAAAACCAACACATATATATTTCAATTAATGAAGTCTAATTATTGCAGAGGTATATGGATTCCGGCAAGGCAGAATTATTTTTGAAAAGGCACAAGACATGCAAGATGAAAATACTGAAGTGGAAGTTCGAGAAAATAGGAAAATACAAAGGAATGTGAAACTGGAAAAAAGATTCAGAAATGTCAAAAATTGTAGAAAATGGAAGAGATACTAAATTGAAAGATCGATATCAAAGAGGCACGTATACATTATCATGAATTCTAAAGATAGAAAGGTGACATTTTCTTATTCTTTCATGAAATTTTCAAGACATTTTCAAGACAATCAAGATAGTTTAGTGATGGAATGTAAATCACACAAGGATATGTACAGATGATATGTTTATAATGCTATCTATCCATTTGATACTCCTAGAAGTCTAGCAGCTGAGTCAGCGGATTCAAGCATCTGATCAAGAACGGAAGAGTCTTGGATTCCTAAGAGATTTGAGATGATGTCGTTCTTTTCCTCACCTTGTCCACCAGAGAAGACATCAGAGGGGTTGGCGACATCCTGGGCCACCAAAGAGTCTTCGTCTTCTAAGAAACTGGACACGTACAGCCCCTGCTGCTGGGTGGGTTTCCTGGAGCCACTAGGATTAGCAGAGGTTGCAGAGTTGCGTTGGCTTTCTTGCGTAGATGTGGGCGACTCTGGGTTCAGGATGGGAATGGCTCCGTCATAGTTGATCTCATCGTCTGTGCCATAGCCATTCATCTGACCGTTCTGCAGGTCCAGGTCAGAGTTCAACCAGTTCTCAACTGCCATCAGTTTGTCAGTGCTGCCCTGTAGATCTTGTACTGCACCAGTCCTCAGGGCCTCATCAAGCTTTGGAGACTTGGTCATCTTCACAAGTTGAGCCATGCTGGGACGTTTCTTACCCTTCTGACCCAGACGGAATGGGACAGGAGTACCATTTCTGCTGCCCTTGTTGGACTCTCCTAGGGCACTGACACTGTCTCCAAGATTAAGAGAAATATGGGACATATCATCTAGTTCTTGTTTGGCTTGATGATTACCTTCTGAAACTTGTTGCCCATTGTCTCCATTCATAACACTGTTCTTGATACTTCCAGAGCCGTCCTCTTTCAATGACCAATTAGCCATTTCTTCTCTGCTCTTCTTGTGCAACTTCATCATATGGCGATGACAGTTGAACTTAGTGGTGAAAGTTGCCTTGCAATCAGTGCAGTGGAAAGGGTGTTCAACTTCATGTACTTTCTCATGCTTCTCGAGCGTTGCAGCAGTCTTAAAACGCTTGCAGCATTGAGTGCATTCAAATCGAGCTCGGTTTTTCTTTCCCTTAGAGCGAGGCCTTGAATTGGAAGAGCTCAGTCCAGCAGCTGCAGCGAGTTGAGGCTCAGTTTCATCTACATCATCACCAGAATGCTGGATGCCTTCCATTCCTTCTTCTTCTAAAACCTCGTCTACATCTTCCCCTTCCTCTTCTCCCAACCCTTGTGAGACCTCCTCAGCAAGAGAATCTCTAGCTTCATCTTCAACCATTGATCCTTGATTGGTAGTGGCACCTTCGTCTTCCCCTAAAATATTAGTAGATTTTTCGTTCACTGCACCAACCTTGACAACTCCCTTGCCAGTAAACATTTTCACTTTAAGAGGAACACCTTTAGACTTCTTCTGTGACTTGGAATGGGTAGTTGACAAATCTGCTGGAATGTCTTCAGACTGTGTGGTGTCTTCATCATTGCTCTTTTCACCATTACTGTTGTCCACTGTCAAACACAAGGGAGCTTCTGAAGCAAGTTTAGCATCCAGTTGTTGATTCACGATATCAACCGAAGTGGAAGCAACTTTCTTGGCCTCCGGGTAGATGCCTGCAAAGTCAATTTGTGGATGGTTCTGTTCATAGTGACCTTGCAGCTGGGTTCTTGTGGTACACTTAAACCCTTTGCATTCTGGACACATGAAGGGATGATCTTGTCCACCAGGCACTGAGCCTCCAAGACTACCAGGTCTTGCACCACCATGACGCCTTACTATGTGTCTCTCACAGTTTGATTTAGTTGAGAAGTTGGCACCACACTGAGGGCATTGGTAAGGCTTTAGTCCAGTATGGGTGAGGATGTGCCTTCGGAGAGAACTGATCCATGGGAAGCGCCGGCCACAGTAGGGACAGCACTGTTTGCTCTCAAACTTTGTTCCCCTTCTTTCCTTTTTGTCTTCCTTGATATCCTTCTCACTGTCATCTGTTGCTTTCTCATCTTCCACAATCTGGAGCGGTCCACCTAGTTCATCATCTGCAAATGATTGATCCAGCTCTGGTTCCTCTACCTTGACTGACATACTTAGATCCATCGTGTCACTCACATTATCTTGATAAAAAACATTGCCATTTTGAATGCGGTCGAGTCTTACTTCTGGCGGTTCCTTGACATTGGTAAACATTTCCTGGCTCTCTTCATCTCTGTAGTCATCATCTGTTTCACGGAAAATTTCTGAAACTGTGAGCGGTGATCGAGATTCTGGTGGTGACAAGAAGAGCTTGAACTGATTAGAGTCGGTAGCTGCCAACATCTTGCTGACACTGGCAAGCTCTCCACTGGAGTCTGACCCAACACTGTTATGTGGAGAAGGACCAAGTTTGATCTGTTGAGATGCACCAACTGGAGTGTTGGGTGAGATGAGGGGGACAGCAGTCTTTGATGCTCTTGATGTGAAACGATGACCTGATGAGGACTTGGCCATGAGTTTGAACTGCATAGGTGTGGCACTCTTTGGGATGAAGGATTGTTGGGATTCACACTCATCAGAGTTGTTGTGGCGACGTACAATATGAGCTTCTAGGTTTGCTTTCATGGTGAAGGCCGCTTGACAGAGGTGACAGCGATAAGGTCTCTCATTGGTATGGCTTCTGATATGTGACTTTAGATGACTACCACGTTTGAAATGCAAAGGGCAGTGTGGGCACATTAATGCATCGGAACCTTCATCGTAGAACTTATGATAGACTTCCTTGAAACGATGCAGGCCGAGTGAATTTGCAGGCTTGACAGAGAAGTTCAGTGGAAGAGCTGATTTAGGCATGGACAGGTCGATAGGGGTGTCTTCTGTAAATATTGAGGTTCTGCGCTGTCCAACCCTTGCAACGGTGCTGCCATTCTCAGGGCTTTTCTTCAGGCTAAAATCTAGTGGCTCTACCTGCTCTCCTTCAGTGTCTAACACAGGGGTAACACTTCTTGACTCACTCTTTATAAATTTTGGAACTTTGATGATGGGGGCATTCTTTTCATCCTCATGCTGGAACACAGTGATGTAGGTCTCCACTTCATCTGCTTTCACTTCTTCATGTCGCCTCATGATGTGGCGGGCACAGTTGCTGAGGCTACTGAAGCCTACCTGACACTTGGTGCATGTGAAGGGCTTCTGCGGTGTCTTCTCATGAACACGCAGATGGTTCTGGAGGTCTCTGAAGAACTTGAAATCTCTATCACATATCTTGCAGACTGTGCATGGGGAGCTGTACTTGCCTTCATCGTCATGCTTGGGACTTGGGTTGTGAAGAATCACCTCCTCGGCTTCTTCTTTGGTATTCTTGTTATGTCGCTTCCGAACGTGACGCTCACAGTTGGCTTTGGTGGTGAATGCAAAATCACAGACCTTGCATGAATATGGGCGTTCTCCACTATGAGTGCGCATGTGTCTTACAAGGGTGCTCTTGTCTGCACTCGCATAATCACACAGCATACATTTGTAAGGCATCAGACCCATGTGGCTGCGTGTATGGACCTTCAAGGTGCTAGAGAAGGGGAAGACTTTCTTGCAGTATTTGCAGGTATGGGTGCCTTTCTTCTTGTTGGCATTTGATAAATCACAAGGTTCCTCTTCGATTTCCTCCAGTGATGCAACAAAGTCTCCTTCAGCTTCAGCTGCTGTTATGTCCCCAGCTTGATTCTCAGGAACTTCTGCCGTTGAATTATTCTGATTGGCAAACTCACGAGGCGTGTGCATTTCCATGGCTACATCACCAGATTTTGGTTCAACGGCACTCTCGATTCTACTCTCTGATCCTTCAGCAACGTCCATTTCTGACTTGATTTGTGGGACACTTCCAGCTGTTACACCCTTGACTGGGGAGTGCTTCATAGGTGTTGACTTGGTCTGTGCAATATGGACCTGTGCACCTAGGGGGTTGGAGAAGTGCTTCATAGCTAGTAGAGGTGAAGCTTGAAGATGCTGTTGAAGCAAAGAGCTCTTTGCTTTCTCTGGAGATGCAAGAGAGGGTCTGCTCAGCATACTATTCAGGATAGGTGCAGGGCGGCTGCTCTCTGCTTTGTCATTGTCTTTGGATTTCTGTGGTGACTTATTGGGTGAAGTTTGAGGTACTTTCTGAGGTGACTGAGGAGGGGATATTGGTTTCAGATTCAAAGCAGCAAGGAATTCATCGCGTGAAACGTCTTCGTTTGAAAGCTCAATATTCTCACTGTCAGCATACATCTCTTCATCCCCAATTATGGAATGTGATTTTTCATGATGAAGGTTTAAGGCACTTTGGCAGGGGAAAGATTTGTTGCAGTCTTTACAGGCATATATACTGTCCATGTCGGTTGTTCTGGGTGAATTCTTCTCGCACCACAACTGAGCAATGAGGGCAAACTTTGGAGAAGAGAATTCAGCAAAACCCAACTCCGCCATACTTGAGAATTCTTTCTCTCCCGTTGTGATAGGGGATGGGGCTTTGCTTCTTCGATGAGCCATGTGGACATGCATACGTAGACCCTTCTGGTTGCGGAACGTCGCATTACAAATCATGCATTCCAGTACTTTGTTAGGGTGTTGCTCTACATGTGTCTGGAGTCCATTCCGACATAAGAATGTCTTACCACATATTGGGCACGACAGTTCCTCCTCTATTTTCTTCTCCTCATCGATGCTTTCGCTCACATGAGTGTGTGTTTCCCCCGAGGACAGGTCCATGGGTTCATCCGAGATTGCTTCGTCAGAGCTTTTCACGACCTTCATACTCAGGTTCAGAGGCCTTTTCCTTTCCACCATCAGCTTCTTCTCTGAAGACTTCTTCTCACCATGATGCGCTCTCTTTTTAGCTGGTTGACCGTCTCTCTGCGGAGACCCACCCTCCATGTCCAGGTTCTCGATGAGCCGTCTCGAGGGAACACGCTTACGAGGCTTGGCATAGTCGTGCTTCACCACGTAATCCGGAGGAGGAAGCTCGCCTCCTTTCTCATGGGTGCGGAGGTGACGATGCATGTTGCCGTTGGTGGTGAAGGACATGGCGCACAGAGGACATGTAAAGGGACGCTCTCCAGAATGGATCAACATGTGGCGGTCCAAGGAACTGGTAGAACTCAGCTTCTTACCACACATGGTGCAGGAGTGAGAGCTAGCGGCGTTGTGGGTACGGACATGGAGAGTCAGCTCATGGGCGTTTACGAAGTCAATGTTGCACACCTGACATGTCAAGGACTCTGGACATTCAAAAGGACGCCTTCTCTTCATGGAGTTCTGCAAAGATGACAAAAAAGTAGAATACCTTTCGTTAATATTTGCTCTCCAAATTAATCATGAAATTTTAAAGAGAAAACATCTTTAATTCAATTGATTATTCCTAACATAAGACCTATGATTGATATATTCATATTAGCCATTAAAAGACAAGTCTCAATTGCTATACATGTACATTTAAAGAACAGAAAAAATTGTCCTTTTTAAAAATTAATTATCTAAAATGCAGCATCTGGATAAAAAAGACATTTGCCATGCTGACCATACACGACATCAACGAAAGAGTAAGAATGATTGAATATAAATACAGACATAAATTAAGGAAACTAATTCTTTTTAAATATATTTCATGAAAAAAGGCATAATTTGGTAATGTGCCAATGTTCATAACGTTGTTTATTCATCAGTTCACATAAATATAGAGCATGTACATGTATCATGGACCAAAATAAATGAACTACATGTACTAAAGCCAGAGATCATGTTTTAGGGTTTTACAGCATCGATAAAATGACAGTTATGATGGGGGAAAGGGCTGATATTCAAAACTGAGTATCATATAACACCACACGGTATGTGGTGTACACGTAGTTCTTGATGCGAATGATGCGTCATGATTTTTTTTTCCCTGTATACTTGTGTGTGTATCCCATTACAACCAAGTTTACAACCAAGTTGTCACTTCTCTGCTTCAGTTTTATAGCTGCACTCTCATGATTTGTTATGATCGTGCATCGTATTTACTCTCTGAAACTTGAACGACCTCATCGATTCTTCAAACATAGCCCAAAATGCCAGCAAACACTTTGAGTTTTATTTAAGCTGTTTCAGTCCTGATTCATTCAGCCAGCATCACTTCATCTATACAGCCACATTCACTCAAACAGGGGGGGAAAAAGGGGTACTAAAAAACCTCAAGGACTTTGCAAGATTAGAAGTAAATCTTTACTCCCCAATGCCTCAACTCATAAACCCCCACGGTTTCCATGACGACCACAGGACTATGTGCACTATTTTGTTTCCCAACGACGACGAGCAAGCAGGGAGGGAGTAAGACGAGGAGTGCTAAAGCAGTCTGCTGAAGATGAATATTACATTACTAACACACCCTGGATTTGTAACACTCGCAGGATGTGGGTCAATTTCTATCGTTCTAGTCGATAGTTTGAGGGGGAAAGGAGGAAAAGTTCAACCTTAGACTGGAGATAACAAAATGGCTGAAATTAGAGAACATGTAGGCCTATTACTGATACTGTTGGGGTATCACCTTCTTCTCTCATTAGTTTCATGTTCATCTCCACTGTACACAAATAGCTGCAATGATGCAACCACAGGGAGAATCATAACTGTATTGCCCTCTCAACCTACTGTGGACATTTCATTTACCATACAAAACTTATCAAATGGAATTGATCAAGCAGTGCTAAAAGCGAAATCAATTCACTTTTCTTTGTCACACATCATTGAGCAAATAAAAGAGTTATTAAAATGCAGATTTATAAAAAGTTTGCTTTAAGAGCGTCAATTATTGGGATCATGATAATAAACTCAAGTATAATGATTAAGTGTAAGGATTAAAGTAAACTTTGGGGTATAATTAAAATTTACGAAACGTAATGTGAATAACGCTGATTGTTGTAAGTTTCAGAATATTCAGAATATCTCTATGTCAGTTCTTTCAAGACAAAAATCATATTAAAAAAATGGAATGGCAATATTGATAGTATTAATGTAATTATTCCTATCAATGTGGAACCTTATAGAAGGGTTTCCTCCATAAATATTCCATCATATTTCTCCATCTCCTTACACAGCATCATAAGCCAAGAAATCAAAGGATTCCCTAAAATTAGCTCAAAATTGGCCTTGGTTGAGGGGCAAAACTTGGCAGTGTTCTCGAATTGTTTCTATGCAGATTTAAGATACCCTGTATGCTAAATAGGGTTTTCTCACAAGCCTCCTCCATTGAAGAAAGAAGATTTATTATAGTAGCTGTTGAAATGTGTAACAAACTGGCAAAGTGTAAAAAGTTATGACGTCACACTGGAAAATTTTCCATAAACAGAATTGAATTAAATTCATCTTTCCCTTCCCTTTAATGGATGACTTTGTTTTATCTGTTTCCATAAATACAGCTATTGTTCTGAATGCATAATACATTTTCCCAATAAAATGACATCTTAGATTGAAAAATGACAGATTTGTCAGTTCTAATCAATGTCACCAAATTGAATTAGTGATGGGAGTCTCGTATATTTAAAATATGGACAAACAAAATAAGCAATAAGCTTCAACAAAGTAAAGAAATTTTCTCAAGATGAAAAGCATGCGGAGATAATATGTTTTTATCCCCATCTGTGCATTATCTATCTTTTGGGGAGGGTAATAAAAAAAAGTATCAAATTTACCACATTTTCTTTTAATTTCCTTTATATTTCAGTAAAAATGCATGTATTTGACTATATGAAGGACACTTTTTTTATAACGCTCCATTAACAAAACAAGACAAGAAAGTACGAGGTCTAAAAGATGAGCTCAAAGGAAGCAAACAGTTGGGATCTCAGAAAACGAAGAGAAGACAAAGACAAAGAGATTGCAAAGATGCTAGACAATGTAATTGAGACTCATTCGAGAGGCAAGATGGCTGCCATCCACTGATGGCTAGCTAACCGGCTGCGCCCCTTTCCCTCAAATGACTGCATCCTGCTCTGAGAGCCATGAGAGACAGAGACGACATCATGTGACTGGGCTAGCTCCTGGAGGTTGTTATGCCAGTCGAACCCAAGCGAGGGCAGTGCAGAGAGTCGCTAACAGGGAGGATGTAGAGATTGGCATGGGTAAATTGGTACATCCTGTTAGGGCTGCATCCATCCCAAGCCGGGCTCTAATGCTTCATGATAAACCAGTCCATGCTGTCTTCTAATATATGGCTGGGGTCTGTCTAAGTAACGTAGCCAAGAGGCCCACTCATCTATTCCTCATTGTCTTCAACACAAACTTTCAAAGCACTAAATGTCCATTTTCTATCCACCCCTTTTTATTCTGTTTTAATATACCCTTTCTTTTTTCCCATCTTAATTAATTCTCTCCTTTCTAAATTCCTTTCAATCATCTTTTCATCATTTCATTCTATTCTATTTTATTTCTTTTTCGTTTTATCATTTCCTTCAAACAAAAGAGTAAGCTCCCAAACTAGCAACTGCAGAATGTTTTATGTTCATATTTTAGGTATCGAGTCCCACTAATCTCTCACATGAATTGTTTAGTCTTCAAATCAGGTTTATTATATACTGTACAATCTTACCTAGGAGTAAAATAGAGGTTACTGCCATAAAGGCGAAGTTTCAAACTTTGCAAAATTCCATACATAGTCTGAAACATGCAATCATTCTAAACATATTGATCACACATCCATCCAAATTATGATAACATAAGTTCTAATAACTTTGTCTCAATATCTTTAAAAGCTAACAACTAGATTTGGGGTAAAACACATCCAAAACCAGCATAATTTCGACAAATGTACAGTCATAGCTGTTTGCAGGGTAGTTTTTCAAAAGCAAGCATCTAAATTCCATCAATCTACAAATCAACTTTGACTTTGACTCGACTCATCTCTTGCTCCTTAAGCCAGAGTCAATTTCCAAGCGCGCAAATTCATCACCACTGCTCCGCTCTTCAAACTTTGTTCAAAGTTGTGTGCTGTGATTGAAGCGATAACTGAGAGGGTCTCTGGCGATGATTCATACGCAGGATTAGGATGCTGAGAGCTTGTTATCACCCCATAGCAGCAGCTTGCTTTATACAACCAAAGCTACGTGGTACACGCTTGTCGTCTGCATTACAGAGAACTCTCGTGTTCCTCCCTGATGCAAACGTGCTTGATTCAATGTAATACTACAGATGGGTTTCAAAGATAAGCAGTGCTCCAGAGTTGTAGAAGAGGAGAAAAAAAAACTAGGTTTGGAAACTTTTGAGGAGGAAGTAAATCGTTCGTTGAAAGTTCGCTTCTTTCTCTCCATCTGCTTGTAACTGGCAGGAAACCATGTAGGGTCCACGTTTTTTCTGTTCTGTTCTTTAGAAACTGTAAATCATCAGTTTTACCATCTTTTCATCGATCAAACTACATAGTCCCATTTCTTGGTAATTGATCAATCATCATCGTAAATAAAGTTAATCTATTGTTAAAGTATTGAGAGCTGCTAAAAAAGGGTTAGCTAACAAAGGGCTGAAATAGTACGGACAAGCTCCATCAATTCACTTGTACAGAATGAATTATTACATTGCTGCACAGGAAGCAGAGTTTAGTGTATGTTGATGTCAGCTAGTGATTAACAACAACAATGTGTAATTGATCATGTTTAATATGATGATTTTATCTATATGTTTAGATCTATAAATGACCCGTTTAAAAAATTATCCCCTTTGTCCCCTTTCTTTGTTTATCTTTCATAATAGTTTTAGTTCAATCCTGTGTACTTTCCTTTTTATTTTTATTCATTCACATTGTCAATTTATCCATCCATCCATATTTTTTTAATCAATAGAGGAACGTGAAAGGAATGCAGATAAAACATCTAAACTCAATTTATTCATAAATCAATACCATTTCCAAACTTTTGACTTGACTGGACAAACTAACTAAAACACTGATCATCTTTATTGATAGTCTCCAACTCTCCATCAACTCCTAAACTCCCTCCATCAATTCGTAGGTGGCATAATTACTAAGGGAAAGTAATAAATGCCATGAACCAATTCTTTTAATTCAAATAACAGGAAACTCCTAGAGAGAGAAAAAAGAAACCCAACCTTTTTCTCTCTCAAAAGAATCTTCATAGCCATCTAACCAAGGGAAGATTTAACAAACATGTTTTCTCTCCTCAGTTTGAGCAGACTGGGAAGTCATCTCCTTAAACATTCCCTCGAGACATCAGCATTTATCTGAAACTTATTCATACAAAGAAAACCCAGCAAAAAAAAAGGGGGGGGGGGCAATT